TATATGATAGGCCTAAAAGAAAACCGGCAGCAATTAATTGAGTTCAGTAGCTTGATTATAAACTTATCGACTCTACAGATATATAGTAACTGGGGAGAAGATAATGTAGTTTATTTTGGAGCTGTATATGATACATGGGATCCAAAATCGAAGAAGTGAGATGCCACATAAATGTGATTTATTCTATATCAAATAACCATTTCACCTAAAAATTTAATCTTATATAGAAAAATATTTAAAAGTTAAAGAATATATATATTTTTGTTAATATTATAGATATATTATTATTTTCATATTTTGAATTATAATATATAATTTTTTCTTAAGTGATTGAAAATTCTTTGCACGCATCCTATTTTTCAAAATATCAATATTTTCACTAATACCTAACTAGAAAATATTATTCCAAATGAATAGTCCATTTGACATTTGTCGAGTATTTGAGGATAGAAATGGGAGTTGAAATGTTGATGCCAATGGCAGTGAGAGATACTACCGAGACGAGGAGGATGATGGTAATGACTACGAAGACGACGAAGAAATAATTCCACAAATTCAATATTATTAAGATTTTGTATTATTTCAATTTTCTAGTAAATGTATTTTGGATTGACATCAATAATAATTTGATTATATTATTGTTCATTTTATTGCTTTACAATATTTTATATTTTTGTAGCATAAAATCAAAAAATCGTAATTCTTAATAATTGAAAAAATCATGACAATAATTATTTATATTGTTGATACATAGTCGTGTAAGATTTCCACGGTTAGTAGTTACATCATTGCGGAATATTACGACAAAGGTTGCAACAATTACTATTTCATCACAGTTGCCACAAAGGTTGCCACAATTATTACTTCATTGTTGCCAATTAATAATTATTTTGTTGCAAAAAGCCGAAACAATGAATATATATATTGCTGATATGCGACAAATAATAATTACTTTGTATATTTTCATTGTTGCGGTCATCCGCGATTGCAAAAAGCCGCGACAATTCATATTTATATTGTTACAAAAATATGTGATAATTTATATTACTATGTATATATTCATTGTTGTGGTCGTCTGCGACAACTAATAAATGTTGTTGCAAAAAGTGGTGACAATGAATATTTATAATTTTGCAACTTCCAACAACAATTCGTCGCATTTTTCTGCGACAATCATAATTAGCACAAAAAATCCGGTGCGAAAGCACTTCCGCGAAAGAAATAGATATATTTCGCAACAATTTCAACTGCGACAAAATGACATTTTTCTAGCGGTGATAGTAAATGCATCATTAGCTAGGTATTATGTAGTCTTTCAACATGTTGGAAGGAAAACAAAGCTCTTGATTTAATGCTTTACTCAATTTAAATAGAGAATAAACTTGTATAAATATTACAACTATAGGCATAAAGAGGCCTTTTAGAGGTATAAACATGACACTACATAAGTGCAAATATTATAACTAATGTGACTTCCCTGTCGGGCTTGGTTTATAGGGTATTAGGTTCGGTCGGGGGTTTACTCAGTGCGCACTTTCGGGTAACGATTGCGGATTTCCATATCATTAAAAAAAAATTATAACTAATGTGTTGGGGTGCAAACTCAAATCCCACATTGGTAGATTAGAAGAAAATCTATCAGCTTATAAGTAACTGAAACTCCACAAGAATGAGGCGTTTGGAGCAGGTCCAAAAACAAACACTCAAAGTCGCAATACCATTTGTCTATTCAATTATAGATATCATTCTCCGATCAAAAAAATTATAGATATCATTCGATCAAACATCGAGAAGAGTGACATTCTTAACTTCAATAATTCCTTGAAACCCCTTTGTAGAATATCCCATGCTTCCTTACAAGATTTTTGTACTGATGTTTTGCATATTTCTTCCATATACCTTCTTCATGTTCCATCTCTACATAAAACTTTCTATAAGTTATTTATTCTTTGTATTAGTTATTACATAGTAACAATAACAACAATTCATAGATGTTTGGATTGAGAACAAGAACAAAGGAAGGGTAACTTTATTTTCCTATCCAGTTTGAGTTGAAAATGTGCATATAGTAGGGATCAACAATGTATCGGAATTTGGCGAAAGGATGGTAGCTGTTGGCGTCGTTCTTGTGACAAAAGATAAGATTGGTAGTATGATCTATATATATATATATATATATTAGTGCTGGCAAAAACTAACCCGACACGAAAATCCGACACGAAATAATTGGGTTTGAGTCAAATATTTCAACCCGATTATGTATACGGGTTGACACGAACCCGACACGATAGTAAACGGGTCGGGTTAGGATTGAGGCTCTCAACTCGAATCCGACACGACAACCCGATTATAATATATTAATATTGATTAATATATTTATTATATATGTAAAATAATCATAATTTAATAATTTTCTTATAAATTAATTTAAACTAAATTCAATTTTAAATAATTCAACCTAATTTGCGTTCAAACCAATAAAAACTAACGTTAACATGACAATATAACAAAAAATTATTTAATTTGAATCAAGAAATTCGACTTAATTATGTATACGGGTCAACACGAGTCAACACGAACCCGACACGATCATAAACGGGTTGGGTTAAGGTTGAGTAATTTAACCCGTTTAAAGTATTCAACCCGATACGAACCCGACACAAATCGACTCATTGACAACTCTAATCTATATATATATATGTGTAATGCTGACAGTTAAATATTTTTTGATATAACCATTTTTTTTTTTCAGGCAGGAAGAATGAGAAATGAAAAAAGAATATAACTGAGATGCTTCAGCAATTAGCAGTTGCATAGATTGAGGTTTGGCTTCATCGTTTTGGTGGAGGTCATACAATGTTCAAACTCTTGTAAGATAAGCAATTAATTTTTAATTTAATTGAAATATATGGCTACAATACCCAAATAAATTAAAGATAATTAATTATTAAGATCGAAATTATATAAATACTTATCAACCAATAAAATATTATAGAATCAAACCAAGTCAAATCTCACAAATGCATACAAAGTTGTTTTTTATACCTAAACTAGAAAAACTAAAATATTCGCTAAACATAGAAAGAAAAACAAATTTAACAAAAAGCGAAATCATGTGAAATTGATCAATCAACGAGATCTAGAACTTGAAATGTCCTTGTAAGAATATTGTTCTCTGCCATATGATATCATAAAACACACCCCCTACTTTTATCTAAGAATTTAATCTTTTTTTTTTTTTTTTCTATATTGTGTATCTATATTTTCAAAACAAATTCTTCTAATTTTGGTCATATTTACACTTTTGTCTCGGACACTAAATTGTACTCCCTCTGTCATCCAATTGTGAGCTCATTTGACATGGTACGGGTTTTAAGAAAAATATGTAAGAATTGAAATTTTTATTTTTTTGTGGTAAAGAAAAGTGGTATTTTTTATTAAAAAATAAAACGAGAAAAAATTTGAATGACAACCAAAAAATGAAGTGATAATAGATTTGAATTTGACAATTTTCTCCCACTTTTAAAAGATCATGCACTTGACACCAAAAATAGCACTTTAAGGAGAATTTATTGTCAAAACAAGTATTAAAACAAAAAAATATACATGAATAAATTCTGATAAAGTACATCTATCAACAATAAACTTGCAAAATACAACATAGGACATTGTAAGCCAAGCAAAATACAACATGAATATACTTATGATCATCCTTTTTAGGGAATTTTAGATTGTATACCAATTTTTTATCCCTTTGTGATTGAGTTCTTCTTTGTTGAATAAAATATCTCAAATTGTGTTCTTACAAAACTTTTAACTTTCTCTCAAATTCTAGATATTGAATGATTGATTTACTTGAATTTTGATTTTTCTAGCATCTATTATAACAACTATACATAGATTCAGCTAAAATGGACACTTAATTGATCTAAAATTTGATCACAAATCTACAACTTGATCGTAATATACTGCAATTATTTTCAACAGAGTAATTGTTGTTAGCGGGTGTCTCTCCTTTGATGTTTTAAAATCGTACAAATATTGAATAGATATTAGTAACAAATATATGTGGGCACATATCTCACGCTGATCCGGCCAAATCAGCATGTATACAGTTAAATAGCATGTACATTATATATATCGCAGCATATTTATAATACAGCATATACTATGTTATATCACAACATATGATATCTTATAACACATTATATGTTGTACTATACAAAAATATATGTTATTTATCTTTATAGCATATGTTGATCCGATCAAATCAATACCATGTTGATTTAACCGGATGAGCATAGGACCCAATATGTATATATGGAAATAATAGCCGAAAGATCATTTCTCAACCGTTATTGCAAATGAGGTTGTTGTAAATTACGAACTGAAGAAATGATTGAATAAATAATAGATTACATTACAAAACAAAATTGTTAGCTCGGCTCCTTTTGTCGTCCGGCATCCGTCACTCCAATGACACCGAGAACTAATCCATCACCCTTGTTCGCTACATCCCTCCTATGTTATCATTTTTTTAATGAAATTCGAAGATATATGAGCATAACGTAATCCAATGTACAAGCCAAAATGTGCAATACCAAAGCTCGGCTCTCTTCCCATTTAAATTGAAATTTGACTATGTACAAATATAGGCTACCTATTTCTTGCTACTTTCATCACCTAAAAATGTGCTCAAACTTTTGGACACAGATTTTAATATGAGTCGTATACTTTTAATTATTTTTTTATTTTTGATAAAAAAATATAAAGTGATAATATTTTGCTTTAAAAAAATGGGAAACAAACATTTTTGAACGACAAAAAAAAATTGAATATAAATTTAAATGACAAAGAGAGTGTAAAATAATTTAAAAATTGTAAATATATTTTGAAATTTCTAATTTTAATTTGAATACCATAAATTTTTTTCTTGGTATTAATTAAGACATTTTGCAGCAAAGATGATTCCTAAGAATCTATAGCATCATTAATAATAGTTGAAGAAGAAGATAATATCCATCATAGTGAACAAGAAAGAGGATTGTACCAATCTATACATACATGCATTATATATAACTTGGTCAATTTTATTCAATTCTCTCTATTTTAATATATATATATATATCATATCATATCATATCATATTATGTCATACTAATTATCGAGAAAAGTCGAGTCGAGCCTCTCTGATTGGCCTCGGCCTTCTTTAGGTAGCCGGGCCAGAGATATCGAGGATGGCCACGATGCACGGGGGGCGACGGGTGGGTCACTGGAGACCATGGAAAGCAGTCGCGGGAAACTGCAACGGTCTCGATGTCAATGGCACGACGAGGGAAGAGAATCCTGATGATGCTGCAGAAGACGGCAAAAGTGGAGCAGGGGGAGCCACCGCGCCGTGCCCCGGCATTTTCCATTGCCAGTTTGAGAATCCGGGCACCGGAACACCTTCACCATTCATGCCCGTCGCTCTCTCCTGTTTTCAAAAACATCAAAACGATCTCTTCAGACTCTATACAATTTTTTTACTATTTGAACTCCACATTTTCCGAAAAATTATATAGTGAGATTGGCTTCTATTTTAAACCAAAATTAATTCCAATAAAAATACACTATTTTCTCTCAAACGTCACATCAAAATAAAACCAACCAAACAAACCCTATCAAATTTTTTCTCATAAAACATTACATCAAATATTTTTTTCTCGTAATGCATATCCATTGCTAGCACAATTTTTTTGTTTTCAGTTCTTGGGAGAAATTTGAAAAGATTCGCCGTAGCTTGCCGTGGCCTTGCGACAGACAAACTTAACATAAAGAAAATAACCGATTTGAGGTAAAAGAATTTGTACGTAGCAACTCAGCCCATCGGTAAGCATGAAGATAAATCACAAGCATGGGCTCATAAGCTTTTAAGCGCGAAAATTCACTTCCAACAGAAACTTAAAATGATCGACTGCAAAATCGCGCAACTTGAAATGTAAAAACAACAATTACCTTACTGTTGAGGGCAAGACCAGAACAGATTCCAGCCAACATGGGAGCACAATTGGTCGATAGATCTTGCAATGTATCAGAGTTCATTTCAACCTGTCAAAACATTCGAGCAAGTCATCCATCCGTCGAGCTAGATCATGGTCTGTTTAGTAGAAGTTTTGGAAGCTTTGGAGTTTTGAAAATTTTTTAGAATAGCAAAAAAAACGTAAAGTATTTGATGTACTATTTTCTTAAAATTTTACTGATAATGAATAGTATCAAAAATTACAAAGCGAGCTCTTCATCTTTTCGACACGGTAGGTAAGAATGTATCTCACAAAGGAAACTATCGAAGAATTGGAACAAGCATAGGACTATAGGAATACCTTTAATCTCTTCCCGTCGGGCAATTTGGTGGAGACGTTTAGAAAATGCAATTTTGTCGTAGTGTCATTTCTCTGCAGACCGTCATCCGGTAAAGAAATTCCCAAGTTGAGATCAAGATTGCTTCCGCTGCCTGTAGACATCATAGTTAGCTGTCAGATACATTACCTTACTATTTGATTCGATTTTAAAGAGCAAAACAAAGAACGTCGATCACTAATAGGTCCCTCGTGTTTGCACTTGCGTCACTATGTCCCCTCAACTATTAAATGCAGCTTCGATTGTCTCCGACATAAACAACACAGCGAGAAAATTTATCCTTATAAAACTCTAGAGACTTTTTCCAACCGAAAGAAAACAATAATTGACGTATGTAAGAGCTAAACAATAAATAAATCGAACAAAGAAAAAAATGATATATATATATACATATATCGTATACCTCCATTCGTGGGGATGATATTTGTATCTCTTTTGTAGTTACCGGGCTCAAAGTTAGTGACAGCTTCTCTCCCGTTGCATTTGATGGCGGCTTTATCGTAAGCCCTGAGAGGAAAACAAAAAAAAGAAGACTCATCAAAAATCGATGGCAATCAAAAATAACTAAACTAGTCGACAAAAGAAGTAATTTGTCCTATCAAGCCGTATGAATTCAAGATCGATCAAAAGGACCTTGCAGCTTCTGCTTCGCTGTCGAATAATCCAAGATACACATACCTGCAACAAATCCATTATAATCTTGTCGATAAAGGAGGGCTACGAATCTCTATTCAACGTGCCCTCCTCAACTCATTTTCGATTCCATACATGAATATAACCATTTCTCGACAAACAAATTGTTCAAGTTCGACAAACAAATTGTTCAAGTTCAACAAACCAACATTTACGATTACATTATCAAGAACAAATGTTCGAAAATTATCCTTACTTCTTCCCGAGGAATTGCCCCATCCGCGCCTCCCACCGGCCACATTTGTGCAGGGTCACCCCCCGGTACTTCGAGCTTCCTCGCGAGAACCCCGTGCTTTGGCGACGAAGGACGTGAACAAACTCTTCTTTCGACAAATCCTTCATCTGCAACCACCTAAACCAATAAGTTCCCTCTAAAACGTAAAATTTCGAGCAGAAAACTATAGTTACGACTAGGAAACCTGCTTCATGTCATCTTCATAATCACTTATGGTGAAATTAATGTCGGCGTCGACTCCACGAAACTTTATCGCGGCACGATCATAGGCTCTAAACAAAGCATCCCAACGGATTTAAACAAACTTGTTCTACCAAGTAATGCCCAAAAATCTAGATCGTGAATCGAAATTCTTACCTAGCAGCAGCATGAGCTGTGTCAAATCCACCTGAATTGAAACCAAATTCAATTACTAAAACACACAACAAGAAGTGATCTAATCACAAAATTCGAAAGTTTCGAAAGATTGCAATGAATTGCAGAGAGTTCTTACCGAGATAGACTTGTTTGCCGCAGTCCCTGTTAGAATATACACCAAAAATTTCAGAGAGACGATCGATGAGTCAGGAAGCAGAATTTGTAATGGAGTTAATGTATTGTTGGAATAACGATGGTGAAATTGGGAGGTACAGCAAGTGAAGCATAAGGTACAACAACAATATGCACGGCCATGCAGTATGCGTGTAGAGAGACGAACCAGATGTGCGATTCCCATCTGCCGGTTCTCCGGTAGAAGGTGACACCTCGATATTGGGAGCTCCGGGACCGTGGTCCACGCCTGCTCTTCTTCACCTGAGGCTGCTGTTGCTGCACTTGTACCTGCACCTGGAGGTCCTGGACCTGGTTGCTTGTGGCCTTGAAAATTCCGGCGTCTTCTCTGCCGCCGCCGGCGACCTCAGGGCCGGACAAGTTTAACCAATACTTAGACCTAACGGTAGGCGCGGTGGTCATCGGAAAAAGCTGGAGCTCGTTTCTATCACCGGCGAGTTCAGTAATATTCTCGTCGTCTTCAATCTCGATCACTTCCTTGTTGAGGATCGAGAAATTGAGAGTCGGCGGCGGCAGCGAGGTTTTGCTCCGATTGGAACTGTTGCAGTCGACTTCATCGGCAGCTGCGGCGGCGGCGGCGGCATTGTTGGTGGTCGATGTGGTGGTGGACGCCACGGAATCGGCGGTCGCCGTCTTGTGAGGCTCGAACTCGCCGTCGCCGTCGCAGGAAGCGGAATTCAGAGAGAAAACCGCATCAACATTCAGATCCAACATTTCACTCCACGAATCGAGACGCACTGATTTTATATATCCTCTTAAGAACACACAATCGAATCGAATCGATCGAGGCTAATCAGTCACAGAAATTTCCGCCATGAACAGCAAATAAAACCAAACAGTCCCAAAACAGACAGACAGAGACGCAGAAACGAGATTCCGTATCCAAAGAAAGGAAAAAAAATCAGAGGCCCAAGCAAAAAACCTAGAAGAAACCAGACACGGAAATCGATGAGTTGGGGGTTAGAGAGAGAGAGAGAGAGATTGGGGAAATCGTTCCAGGTGTGAAAAAATGGAAAAGTCAGAGGTCTTCAGAAGAGGTGCATTTTAGGACTTGTAGGGGGTGGGTAAGTTAGAACTTAGAACCGCCATGGATGAATGAAGGAATTCATTCTTGAACAGTGATTGATGGATGGAATAGTGATGGAAATGTGAAAAAGGTGAGTGGAAGAGGATGAGCATATATATGGTTGTTAAGCACTTTGATGGTGTTGTTGTTGCTGTTGTTCTTGGTTCGTCTTCTTCGTCTTCTTCCTCTGTCTGTCTGTCTGCAACTGTAACTCTGCAACTTGCTTCTCTTCGCCACTCCCTCTTTAATTCCCAATTTTGACCTATTTTTTTATTTTTATTTATTTATTTATTTTATTTAACGCCCTCTTTGGGGAATCACATAGGTTGCGTTTGTTTGTTTATTTTTATTGTTTTCTTTTTCTTTTTATTGTGAGTATTTTATTATTTAATATTTTTACAAATAGGATGTGTTCTTCTCAAATTTGTCGCATTTTTATTATTCATTAAAAAAAAATTAAAAAAATATAGTATCAAACACTTAGGTATGTTTCTTTAGATGAATTCGGAAAAATTTTGGTTTAACTTTGGTATTAAAATAATATATGATTGGATATTTTGTGAAGTATATATTTTTCGAAAAACATAGAGTAAATAGTAAAAATTTGATATTTTGTGTAAAAGAAACATGTCTTTATTTTTTATTTTTTATATTATATTAAATATTAATTTTATATTAAAAATATTATATTTTATTATTTATTTATATCACGTCATATAACTATTCAAATTCAAAATTTTTATTATGCAAATCCCACACCAAAATTCAAACTCCAAACAAACACGGCAGGATGTTCTTCCACAATTGCCTAAAAACATGTTTTCTCAAAAAAAATAAAAATTAATACTTTCTCCGTCCCTATCATATATTTAATTATTTAATTAATATTTGATTTATGACATAATATATATAATTAAAATAAATTTAAAATAAGTATTTAATTATTTAATAATTATATTTTAATATTATTTGTAAAGAATAAAATTGTTATATAATACAAACAAACAAAAAATATATAAATATTTATTTATAATTAATATAAATTAATTTATAAATAAATGAAAAATTTTGAATGTATATAAATATATTTGTTTATAAATAAGAGAAATAAAAATAAAATTTTTGAATAAATTTTGAGTGAGTCGTATATGATATGTATTAATATTTTGAAAATAAAAAGTGAGAGGATAGTGTTAACTTTGGCCGAAAACCCAACCAAACACACGTGTTTAAGTTATTAATAGTAAGTTATGATATTATTTTACTATTTTTTTTATGTGAATAATATTGTTAGTATTTTAAATATTTTTAAGATTATATCTCAATAAAATATATACAATATGATTATATTTTGTAGATAATAAAATTTGATATAATATAAATAAATAAATATATATTTACTTATTTATAAAAATTAAAACTAATTTTATAAAAAAAATAAAATATTAAATATATAAAAATAAATGAATTTTAAATGCATCGTACAACTTAAGAAATTATAAATTCAATTAAAATAATTTATATTTTTTTAAATATGTTTAAAAAGAATTCCTAAAATTATAAAGAGATTTTTTTTAGCGTATAGATAAAAAAAAATAAAAAATAAATTATAGGGACGAATGAATGCAGTATTAAAAACTTATTATTTTTTTATATTATTTATATGCTTCACATAAATAATAATAATAATAATAATAATAATAATAATATAGAACAATTTAACTAAATAGACACAAATATATAGAAATTGTATTGTTGGGTTTTGGGATTTCTTTTTAGATTTAGGATTTTTTTTAATTTATTTCAAATTCAATTGTACATTTTTTTTTAGTAATACCATTTTTAATAAAAATGTATTACACTATTTTATTATACAATATTAAATTCAAATAATATTTAAATTCAAATTAAAATTAAAGACACAACTTCTAAGGATTTGTTTGTTTTGTAAAGTGATTTGAAATAATATAAAATAATAAATATATATATAATATAATAATTGTTTCGGAGAAATATGTTAAATTTTCTTAAAAAAATAAACAAACTATTTATCTTTTTTGGTTGAGTCAAATAATTGGGATTGAAAAATAAATTATTTTTTTATTTTTTGGTTTCATTTATTTGTCACATAAATGTCGAGAATTGAATATATATACAATATATTTATTTTAATTTTAAATTTTTTTGTATTATTTAATTTTATAAATTTTAAATTATATTCAAGTTTATAAAATATCCCATATAATTTTTTATTTTAGTTGAGGGCACGGAGTTTTATGTAGTAAATAAGTGATTAAAAAGTTTATTAGTAAAAATAATTATGATATAATAAAAATAATTATAAATTAAGCTTCAGATTACTAAATAGTTTAGCTAAATTAAAAAAAAATTATAAATTATAAATTTTAAAATGTGATTAGAGTGTATAATTATATTTTTTAAAAAAATGACAAATTATATGTAACAGGCCGAAATAAAAATAGTGAACAAATTATGTAGGAAGAAAAAACTATTAAAGTATTTGGTTTTTACGAATTATTTAAAAAGAATACAATAAAATATAATCTTAAAAAACATCATATCTAATTTATTATTTAAACAAAAAACAATTACCATTATTCTTATCGATTCATCACGTAGCTGTATTTTTTTTATATTTCTCAATTAAATATTTTATTTTATTAAACAAAAAGAATCAATTTTCATTTTTTACTAAATTCCCTCCCTCTGAATTTCGGCCAATAAGTTCTTGTTATTTACTTTTATGTCTAATTTTTTATGTGAATATTAATTTTTTAAGTTATACTCCCTCCGTCCATTTACAAGGATTACATTTACTTTTGTCACGGTATTTAAAAAATAATAATATTTTAATTATAGTGAGTAGTTAAAAGTAGTGTAATGATATTTGTACCCTTACTTTTTTGTGTAAAAGTAATAATGTGATGTAAAGTAAAGGTATTTGTGAAAAAAAGTAGGGTATTTAATTAAATGTTAACTTTGTAATTGGACGTTCCAAAATAAAAATATGTAAACTTTGTAAGCGGACGGAAGGAATATTTTGTAAGATAAAATTATGTATATTTTTATAAATAATTGCAATTATGTATATAATAAAAAATTAATGTCAAATTTCAACAATACAACTAAAAAGTTATTTAGAAATTAATAAAAATATAATAAATAGAAAAAATAATGATAAGTTTATTATTATTTGTTAAAATATAATTAATAAAATCATGGGTGAATAAATTATTAATTATAAATTAAATAAACATAAGTTTAGAGATCAAAAAAATAAATAGTTATATAATATTAACAGATGAATGAAAAAATATTTTAATTTAATATACACTCCCTCCGTCTCATATACCGACTACGCCGTAGACACGGTATTTTAGAAGTGGTGTAATTAGTAAATAATTAACAATGTATTAGTAAAAATAATTATTCTACAATATAAATAATTATATATTAAGGTTAAGATAACTAATTAATCTAATTAAAATTAAAAAAAATTAAAAAGTTTAAATGATATTAAAGTGTGTAATTATTTTCTTAAAAAAAAAAAGAAAAGTGATATGGAATGTGGATTGGATAGAAACGGCAACGTGGACATAATATGTGGGACGAATGGAATAATAGTTTATCATATTATCATTCAATATATTAATATTTTTTAAATTGATACTTTTTATTGATTATTACTATTCAAATAAGTTTTTGTATAAAAATTTATAATTTATGTTTCAGTTGGACTAAATTGACAAAAGTATTATTTGAATAAAAATAATGGGTAAATTGTTTTTTAGTCCCGTAATTGGACCCCTTATCATTTTAATCCCGTAAGTGGAGCCTGTCGCAAACTAGTCCCATAAGTGAAAAATTTTCGTTGTTTTAGTCCTCCGGCGCCAAAGACGCCCGCGTGGCTCGCTGGAGGTGACGTGTCCACCTAGGGGTGTGTTTGTTTGAAGGATTTTGGAGGATTTCCACTATTCATCCAATTTTTTTCCCCCAAAAATATCAAATCAAACACCTATTTTTCATTTTTTATATTATACTAAAAATCAATTTTACATTCAAAACATCACATCAAACCCTATTTATATCACATCATACAACTATTCAAATTCAAAATTTTTACTATTCAAATCCCAATCCAAAATCCAAACCCCCAAACAAACACACCCTAGTGTCGCTGACCTGGCGGACACGTGGATTTTTTTTTTTTCATTTTTTAAATTTTTTTTAAAAATTATTTTAAATTTTATTTGTATTTTTTTATTTGTAAAAATTTAAAAATAAAAATAAAATAAAAATAAAAAAGTAAATCCACGTGTCCGCCAAGTGTCGCTAACCTGGCGGGACACCTAGCGGACACGTCACCTCCGGCGAGCCACGCGGGCGTCTCCGGCGCCGGAGGACTAAAACAGAGAAAAACTTTCACTTATAAGACTAGTTTGCGACATACTCCACTTACGGGACTAAAACGATAAATGAGTCCAATTACGGGACTAAAAAACAGTTTACCTGAAAATAATAAATTAGGTATCAAATTATGGATTCAATGAATGGGGAAAAAATGTCAACTAAAATGATCAAAAATTAATTTTACCCTAATGTATAAATTAATGAATTATTGTATGGATTAAATATGCTTTGTGTCGATCAATAACAAACATAACTTTATTCTTTTTTTTTTTTTCGAAAAATGATATAACTTTATTCCCAAAATTTGACTGATTAATTCAATATTTCTAAATTTTTAAATAAAAATGAAAATTGCATATAATATATTATATTATTATTTTTTAATATTTGTACCCAATCAAACTTTTATAATTTTACAGACCGGATAGGCTATAATACTTTAAGTAAGAAGTTTTAAATATAATATTTTATTCCAAATTTATTATTACTTTTTTATTCTTTTTATTAAATTTACCTAAATATTATATTTGAAAAAGTAAAAAAATAAATAATAACATTTAACTATTATATGCAATTTAATACTTTTTTTTGTCGACTTTGAAAGTTTACATTTATGTCATATGTCATTGTATTTAACATTAAAAATATCATTATATTTGTATAAATTTTTATATAAATGTCATTATATTTGTACGATAAGACACTAATAGAAGTATTTTTGTTATTTTTACTTAATTTATATTATATTTTGATATAATAATTAATATTCAAAATCAATACGCAAAAAAAAATGTAAACCTTT